TCATGTATTTGTTGTGGAACTTGTGACCCGTTGGTTACTCGGTCTGTATAGTTGAAGCTAGTGCAATGGCATTTGATGTTTGTTTAAAAAAAAAAGAATAAGTCGAAAGAATACTTTTAAGTCAACTAATTGAGAGAGGTGGGGCCCATTGGGGGCATTATATTACTCTTGGCCAAGAAAATTACGAGTTGAATTTATGTCATTCAATTCAACTCTCACTTATTGATATAGGTGGGCCCACAGGGGGCATTGCATATGTATTACCCTTTTTCTAGAAATGACGAGATGAATTTCTTTCAATTGGGTTGGGACATATAAAAATATTATATTTGATATATTATAAATATATACTAATTTATATATGCATATAAATGAGGCCCCATTTTATAAATGGGCTCTGGGCCATCGCTCAGCTTGACTTGGGTCATCGCCCACCTTTTCCTGGTTCAGGGCCGAGTCTGCTAGTGTCACCTAGTGCATTAGGCCCATATATATTTTCTCGAAGGCCATGTGATATATATACATGTGTGTGTGTGTAAAAAAAAAAATCTATTACTATATAATAACAATAAGAAAAAATATACAAATAGCATGATAATTTATGCTCAAATTTTCAGTTTTTACTACTTATGGAAATATTTTTTACAATTTTCAAATTTTTTGAAAGTGACATAAATTATCTTTTTTAATAGATATGCATTCCATCTTTTCTTGATGTCTATATTTATTTATTTTTTCTTTTTTTGTGGGTATTGTTTTAATTTGATTTTAATATTATTAATTAGATATCTAGAACTATTAACAATGGTAGTGATGCAGAAGAGTTATTATTATTACTATTATTATTATTTTAGTATTTAAATATTTAGTGACTTGGTGGACAAAGATAACGTTTAGGGTTTTGGATGTCTTATTTAAAGACTCATCTTCTTTGTTATTCAATGGTTGATTTTGAATTGAAATAAAATTGATTGGTTTGTCGGGTTTGAGATTGAGATGTCATTCATATCATTCTCACTCGTACCCTACATCAGTTGGTATCAGAGGTTAGCATGATTCATGATGCTGCCACGAAGACAAGATGCTGCAGACGACAAGCGTGACGCCGCCATCTACAATATGATTCGCCAGATCGAGGGATTTGGCTGCCGGCTCAAGACGATGGGTAGTCAGATTGTAGATCTATCTGCGGAGGTTGGGGACATACGTCTAACTCTCCATACCATGGTTCAGGACAAGCAAACGTACAGCGACGCTGGCAACCGGGTCATGCGCCGGGGATGTAACGGCGGACGTGGAGGCCATGGTCCTGGCGGGGCGCCCCACCAGAGATCTCCACAACTAACGTCCGGCGACGACGGCGACGAGGATACCATCTCGGAGATAAATCCCTTCAGTGAGTGACAACCTCCGCACATCGGGGCTGAGCCATTTGCCACGTACAACGACGTTTATATGCAATGATAAGGCCCGATCTGCGGGAAAGGTGACTGTTAACGCCGCAATGGGAGAAGGCACGAGGATGCAGTCTTCGAGGGTGGATATCGTCAGCGAGCGTCTTGGGGAATGAGCATGATGGGGATGCTTTCGATGGGTCGGGTTCATGTTTACATGTCGTAGGTTCGCGTGTATTGTTCGATGAAGGACCCCGAGGAGGTGGAGCTTCTTACTGGCGGCACGAGCGTCTTTTACAATGGACTGCCAATTTTCGATGAGGAGCCTCCGGGGTTGGAAGAAGAGAAGTACTATATGACTTCGGACGCAACACAAACTTCAAATATTTGGTGAGGTGGAGTTACAACCTGGAAAAGACAGTGGAAATCATGGAAGCTCTTGTACAAGATGATTTCTCCAAAGATGTGGAGCAGTGGATGGTAACTAATCTTAGGCAATCTGGGGCCAATGGTACATTGTATTCAAGCTTCTCTTGGTTGTTTGATCTCCATGGTATTTTAGGTGTATCAATCATACGAAGACAAATCTCTGGAAGCTCGTGGAAGAAATTTCTCGAGGCGTATATATTAATGTTCTGAAATCAGAAAGAAGTCTACATGGATGGGTCTTTGAAGACCTTTACTGGATCCATGATGCTGAGGAACAAGCTGCTAAGGTGGAGGTGGGGTCGAAATGCATGTCCTCGAGGATACTGGACACTGGGTACAAGCTGACATAGTTAGGCGACATTCAACCTTTATGGTTGAAAGGGGGAAACGACGGGCGATGATTGCCATGTGTAGGACTCCGGTGTCGGCACGTTTGGTGCGGGTTCGAGGGCGTCCGAACCGAGGGAGAATGATGCAGAAGAGTTATTATTATTATTTTAGTATTTAACTATTTTGTGGCTTGGTAGACAATATAACTTTTAGGGTTTTGAGTATGTTATTTAAAGACTCATATTCTTTGTTATTCAGCGTTTGGTTTTGAATTGAAATAAAATTGATCGGTTTTATCGGGTTTGAGATTGAGATCTCATTCTTATCATTCTCATTCATACGCTTTCCTACATCAGTAAGTCAAATAAATTGTCGAGTATCTATTCTAAATTATTCTTATGAAGCATGACCATATTTTTTTCTTTCCTATATTTTTTCCTTTTCTAATGTTACGTCTTTTTTCCTTTTTCTTTTTTTTTTGACTTTTAAATTTTAATTTCTTAAGATGTTGGAAATACTCTCGTTTTCACAAGGCTAGTGTAACTCTTTGCTTATCTTGCTGGTCATAGGCCGAACTTAGTAACAATTAGGTGTGCCCGCCCCATGAGAGCTAGACGGATGGGAGTTAGGCGAGGACTAGTTGGGCAGGGACTAGCTAGGCGGAGTACCAAAAGTTGGTAAGCTAGGCGGATGTGATCACCTAAACGATTTGGCGCTTAGGCACTTAGGTAGCTCGGCGTATAGGCACCTCGGCACCTAGGCAGCTCAACTAGAGGGTCCTGCCGAGGGGACCAGAGCCTGGAGGTGGCTTCGTGACCAAGTCACAAGGAAGTTTGTAGCGATGAGGACTCTAAAGATCTGAAATATCTGACCTGATTTAGAAGTAGACACAAGGAAGACTTCCGACAAGAACTCTTCGGCCTATACATGACCTCACCTATAAAAGGGAACATGTTCATTCATTTTACACAACACACACATACGCATAATCTCGATACTCTGCCGTTTTCTCTCTCGGATATACCACTGACTTGAGCGTCGGAGTGTCCATCCCGGGACCACCCCCGACGTGTTTTGAAGGTACCGACGATCAAGAAGACGCAATTCGGTTTGAGATGGGCGGTCGAACGGGTCGGGAATTTGTGGCGTAACAAATTGGAACCGTCTGTGGGAGAGATAGAGGGCATGTTTGAGAGAGCATGGGGGGTCCCGATAGCCCACAACTCGGCACTTAACATGACGGCAGCTCGACGCATTTTAGCTCGATGGGTTGACAAGTCGGCTCGTCAATACAGACAACTCGGCACTCATGCGAGCTCGACAGCTCGTCAACCCGGGCAGCTCGGCACCTACACGGACAACTAGGGCTCGACAGCTCGTCAACATGGGCAGCTCGGCCACACGGACCACGCGAGCTCGGCAGCTCGTCAAGCCCGGACAGCTCGACATCACCAGCGAGCCCGGCGACACTCAGAAGGTCGGCATCACTTCGCTTGACCACGGGAAGCTCGGCATATCAGCTAGTTGCGCCTCGGCAAGTCGACATCACCTCGTGCGACCACGGGCAGCCCGACACAAGTGCTCATGTGGCTCGACATTTTGTACAATGTGGTCGGCTTGACTTGGGACGAGCAGAGCCCACGCGACAAGCTGTCTGACATGCTATGATTGGTTGTGATGGGTGGTGCATTTATAAGGGTCGCGGATAGGACAAGATCAATAGCGCCAGAATGGCCGATGTCGCAGAAGTTACATTCTTGGTCGACTTACCCGTAGCTCGACCAAAGAATGAGGGGGCTAGATGATACGACAATAAGTAGCTGTTCATAAGGGACTAGTCATAGGTCGAGCTTAGTCACAGTTAGGCGTGACCCCCCCATGAGAGCTAGGCGGATGGGAGCTAAGCGAGGACTAGCTAAGCAGAGACTAGCTAGGCGGAGTACCAAATGTTGGTAAGCTAGGCGGATGTTATCACCTAAGCGGTTCGACGCTAGGCACTTAGGCACTTAGGTAGCTCAGTGCATAGGCGCCTCGACACCTAGGCAGCTCGACTAGAGGGTCTTGCCGAGGGGACCAGAGCATGGAGGAGGTTTTGTTTGTTTTATTACACAGTCTGCTTTGTTCACGTGGTGCAGTTCATTCATATTGTGGACCCTTTTGTTCAACGTGACAAAATAGAATCAGTAAAAATGATTTTGAAATTAATTTATTTACTATTAGAAGAAAAGAGCAAATGCTATGTACTTCCTTTGTTTTTTCTTTCATAATTAAAAATAGAGCAAACCAGCAAAGAAGCAAATAATTCAGAAATCCCTACAGTGCCTACACAAATCTTCTCGAAGCAAAACGATCGTGTATAGTTTATCAATACAGCTCCAGATTCTTCTGGCACCCCGACTTCCATTGGCGTTATCCTTACATTAATCCAGAACATTTTCACACGCACAGCCAGCTACGGCGGCGAACGGCGGAACCAGTCACCCCCGCTATTAACTGTTCTTTATCGGCGCCGGCGTTAGGTCCGTCGAAATATCCATCATCTTGTTTTCCTTACTTTTTTTTTTTTTTTGGTTCACAGCATATCTAGAGCAATCGATTTCGCTGTTGAAATACATTACTTTGATGCCGAACCTTTTTACCATGCGCAAATTATTACCAATTACTTTTCTCGTTGACTTGTTTTTCGTTCACAGCGTTGACAAGCAGGATAAAGAGAGATCAATGGAAGCGTGCATATACGCAGTCAAGCCAATCCCTGGCGTTGGCCTTCGTAGCCGTCGGCTTTTGAGCGGCAAGGGCGATTTAAGGAAGCAAGGCTTAGCATTTTCGACGAGCACCAAACTTCGCATGGAGAAGAAGCATAACTGTCTGGGTCTCAGCTTTGATTTGGCTTCAATGGGAAGTTTTGGGGGTAGTTTTCGAGGTTTGTCTGGATCGTCGGCCAAGGCCAGATCAGTCCGAGCTCAAGGTTATTCCGGTTCGTGTGTTCGGAACTCGATTATAGATCTCATTTCCTTTGTTTTATTTATAATCTTTAGTTCCGCTTTAAAATTTGATCCTGTCATTAATTTGGAACATTTTAAGGCAGTAAATTTGTGAACTATTTTAGCGATTGTGGTTTAGTAGTTAGTTCAGTTGGAGTACTGAAACGATGCAATATAATTATGAACATTTGTATATGGTGGACTTCATGTGGTCACAGTATGAGGATGATTGTTGTGATTGTACATGGACCGGGGAGAGAAGGCTATTAATTATCATATGATGCACAATGGTTGGTAGCATTGTTTGATTTATGTGAGTTGTTTATATTTTGATTCCTGTCATTGTTAGATTTCTTTTTCTTTTTTTTTTCTTTGTTATAAATTCTTTTAACCTGCATTTAGGTAAATTCTTTCGAAATCGTTTGATTTGGAATCATTTGAAATTTAAATTTGCTACTTTCAAACTCTTTGAATGGATTTGTGGAAATGGTTGTAAATCCATCGTCTAGCTCGCATCGAGGGTGTTGTCTCGCGGTGATGATGAATCTAAATAAGGATTCATACTTATGGACGGTGTGGTCGTCAACAGTGTGAAGTGGATTTCAAATGACAAGATTTGAGATGTCATATAAAATCCATGACTAAAGTCTATCTGGTGTGAATTTGAAATCCTAAAACTTCTATTATCATCCAGACATGTATTTCAAATGACAAGATTTGAGGAGTCATTTAAAATCCTTCGAAATAATGACTAAAGTATACTTGGTGTGAATTTGGAATCTTCCAACTTCTATTATCATCCGAACATCCGAAACATGTACGGGGACTTGAACTTGTAAATTTGAAATCTATAGATTTCAAATCCCTCAATCCACGTAGCATAAAATTATTTTTCTATGTTCTACATCAAGTCACTGTTAAAAGGATACTTTCTATACTAGTTCTTGTCAGTGTTATCAAATGGCGACCGTGGTGGTATGGCATGGCAGATTTTTGACAAACCGCCATGCTAAATTTGTGGATGATTGTTATGGCGGCGCCCGGCTGCTATGACTGGATTTTGGCCCTGACGCCATTTATAACATTGGCTCTGGTTCAAGTGTACTTGTCCATGTTTACTTTCTTGTTTCACAGTTACACTCAAGTACTAGCATTTATGCTCATAATTTTCTAAGTGCTTTATTTTACAACCATTATTACCATCCATGCAGGAGATATTGAAGATGTTTCACCAACCAAAATCCAAGTGAAGTCATCTGGATCGGTATTGCCATATGTCGGTGTTGCTTGTCTAGGAGCTATCCTGTTTGGGTATCATCTAGGGTATGTTAATAGACATCTTATTATTACGCACAAATTAAGTATTATTGTATCTTGCCATTTTCTGTCGATATAACTGAAATACATTATCGTTGTTTTGTCTTGGGAAAGTTATGTTTGACTTGATTTAATTTTCTTAAACTCCTTCACCTCTTTTATGGTTGCACTTCTGTGTTTTAGAGTTGTTAATGGAGCTCTGGAGTACCTCTCTAAGGATCTTGGGATCACAGAGAATACTGTGTTACAAGGCAAGTCTTAGTTCAATTCCAGCACCTCTTATTATGGTTCATTTAGTAATTTATAACATATGGAACTGAAATCACATGGAGATATATCATTCTTGTCGATATTTAGCCAATTGTAATAAAAAAGAAGTCATCTCTATCTTTCTCCAATTTCAACAGTCTGGTTCCTCTCAGCTTAATTAGAAAATGTATATCCTACTTCATATGTCCTATCATTCTTGCCAATATTTAGCCGAATTGTAATAAAAAAGAAGTCAGTTTTATCTTTCTCCAATTTCAACAGTCTGGTTCCTCTCAGCTTAATTAGAAAATGTATGTCCTACTTCATATGTTCTATCATTCTTGCCCATATTTAGCCGAATTGTAATAAAAAAGAAGCCAATTCTATCTTTCTCCAATTTCAACAGTCTGAGTTCCTCTCAGCTTAATTAGAAAATGTATATCCACTTGATAAAATGCTCCCCCTTTGATCTAATCGCTTATATGTTATTCACTCATGAACATATGGAGTTCTTACATTTTTTCTCCTTCCTTTTCTTTCGAGGATTGGGGTTGAGTGGGGGTGGAGTGCCCATTTCTTTTCTTCCTTCTGAGTGGATCGACGTGTCGGTTAAATCTTTGGATTAAAGTTTTGATAAATTAGATAATAAGAATCTCCTCATTTAGTGTTTTTTTCCTCATTCAAAGTTATTATTTCCTATCCACTTTTGCAATTGTTTGTTTATTTATTCTCTTCCAAAAATTGCAATTCATCTAGCTGGGTAGTTATTTGTTGTGTTTATTAACTTGTTAGCATAATCCTTCTATGCTGAAGCAAATAATTCCTTTTTTTTTGTTTTTTTTCACTGATGTAGGCTGGGTTGTTAGCACACTTCTCGCTGGGGCTACCGTTGGTTCATTTACTGGGGGTTCATTGGCTGATAAATTCGGGCGGACAAAGACTTTTGTGTTGGATGCAATTCCACTAGCAATTGGAGCGTTTCTTTGGTACACACTTGGACATAGATGATGTGTTCCTTTGTTGTTTATTTTCTATTACTATTGTGTAACTGTTTCCAAATTCCAGTGCCACAGCTCAAAGCATAGAAACAATGATAGTTGGACGGTTACTGGCTGGTATCGGGATTGGCATCTCCTCTGCTATTGTGCCACTTTACATATCTGAGGTGCCATTTTTTGTGCTTCATATGAAAACTGCTTCACTTTCTGGGTTCTGACGTACATCTAACACTCTTTTCTATCCATCAGATTTCACCTACTGAAATTCGTGGCACACTTGGATCTGTCAACCAGCTATTCATATGTATTGGAATCCTTGCAGCATTAGTTGCTGGTTTGCCTTTGGCAGGGAATCCATTGTGGTAAAATATCCTAACGGAATCAGCTCATATTTGGACGAATATACTTAGCACTATTTGACCAAATAAATAATAATTATCAACTCCAAGATCTTGCATGATGATCTGTATTACGATCACTTTCTGTATCCCTCGTTGAGTTTGGTTTCTTGTTCCATACAATATCAGACATATTGTCAAAATTTTATTTTTCTTACTGCAAAGTAAAATCATTTTCTCTGTGTGTGTGCGCGCGCGCGGTATTAGGTGGAGGACAATGTTTGGTGTTGCAGTTATTCCATCGGTGTTACTGGCACTTGGAATGGCATTTTCTCCTGAAAGTCCACGCTGGCTTTATCAGGTTTTAAATGAACTTAATAGCAATGTCTTCTCTTAGGTTGTCATCTATTTTTTTTAATGTGTTTATTTTTTATTTTTCTTAAGCTTCATTTTAAATGAATGTAGCCTATTTATTGTAAAAACAATGCTAAAAAAAGAGGTAATTTGCAGCAAGGAAGAATATCTGAAGCTGAAGTATCAATTAAAAGGCTATTTGGAAAAGAAAGAGTTTCTGAGATTATGAGTGATTTGGATGCTGCAGCCCAAGGTTCTTCTGAACCAGAAGTTGGGTGGTTTGATCTTTTCAGCAGCCGCTACTGGAAAGGTTTACATATATCTTATGTAAAATTATAAATGAGATACACTTTTCTAAACCTTTAAACGTTTAGTAGGGATAAATGTTCTTTAACTGTATCTTACAGGGCTAAACAAAATCAATAAAAGATACGACCCTGTTATTCTTGAGTGGATGGTCTGCAACTGAGTCCTTTATTTTTATGGGGAAAGGCGGTTCCTCCTTCCTTGGGGCTATTGAAATTTCAAAATTCTTAGGCTACTCAATGTGTTAAAAAATATCAATTGTAAGAATTACAGAATGGCGCAAGCTATTACTGTAACTGACTTACTGTCAATGATGTTAGAAACTATTAGCTGATTAAGTTTAGAAATGTTAGACATCTGTCTATTTTTCTAAAGACTACAACCTGGATTTTAGTGATTGTGATTTCTTCTTTATTCCTATTCAGCCACATTTTTTCTCTCATTTTGTAGTAGCAAAACAAGTGAATCCAGTTTGCAATTAAAATTCTATATCAGTCATTAGTGTTACTCATTTTTTTCTGTTCACGTTTGATTATTTTATTCTCCTTTCACAAGATTAGTGTAACTCTTTGCTTATCTTGCTGAAGCTAATTTTTCGTAATAAAATACGTGCGAGTTCAGATTTGTTAGGCTACTTAAGCAGGGATAAGACATGCTATGCAGTGCAAGTGAGGACTTCAATTAAAATATATAAGGATCATAAAAGAGATTCCCTTGTCACTTTCTGTAATATTAGGGTAGGTCGATTATAAAACCGTTTTGCGAACGTTAATGTTATCCAAATTGTACTGCAGTTGTCAGTGTAGGTGCAGCTCTCTTCTTGTTTCAGCAGCTTGCTGGTATAAATGCTGTTGTGTACTATTCGACCTCCGTTTTCCGAAGTGCTGGAATTACATCTGATGTTGCTGCCAGTGCTCTGGTTGGGGCATCAAATGTTTTTGGTTAGTTCAAGATTTAGGCTATGAAAAATTCTGGAAACCTTAATGGATCAAGTTTCTCATGACAAATTAAATCCTTTTCTAGGAACAACTATTGCATCCTCATTGATGGATAAACGAGGACGGAAAAGTCTTCTGCTCACAAGCTTTGCTGGAATGGTACGACTTTGGAAACTGAGCCATTTGCATAATTTACTTGTTAGACTTGACATTTTTCTCTTACCATCTTACACGTAAGTTCACCTGAATCTAATTCCATAAAAATTTTGAACACGACTCACGATATGTAGTTTGAAAGTTTCGATTGTCCTTTTATCATATATGTCATCTATTCCATTGAGTATTTTCACCGACTACTGTCCGAATTTGATGCATGATATTCGCTAAAATACATCACATTTGTTTGAAAATTATATGCCTGGTTACATAGTAGAAGTGGGCATGTGATAGTGGGGAAAAAGGAAACACCCCATGACCCTACCTCCACATGCCTGTTCTGAAATTCTAATGCTTGCTTGGGTTTTCATGAGTTCTTCCTTTAAGTTTGGATGAATATGCAAGTTCCGTTGAATTTTTTTAGTCTCTGCTTTCTAACTTTGCTTACCCTTTTCAAGTTTATAAATTGTTTCTTTTTCTCTGGCAAAGGCTGCATCTATGCTGCTGCTCTCTTTGAGTTTTACTTGGAAGGTCTTGGCACCATATTCAGGCACCCTTGCTGTTCTTGGGACTGTTCTGTGAGTGATTTTTGGTGATGGCTCTTGTCATCGTATTTATATGAATGATGATTATTTTTTTTTTTTAAATATTAAACTCTGAAATGTACTCATTTTTTACTTGAACAGCTACGTACTATCGTTTTCTCTTGGCGCTGGTCCTGTGCCTGCGCTTCTACTTCCAGAGATTTTTGCCTCTAGAATCAGAGCAAAAGCAGTGGCCTTATCTTTAGGCATGCATTGGGTAAGCATGAACTAATCTTGTTTTGTATAGGACACAATGCTTATTATCTTAATTAAATCACTCCATGATGATTAAGCAAGTTAATTACTTTTATCTGTATTATCTAAATGATTTGTTGCCTGCCTTTCTATGTTAAAAACAAAAAAAAAAAACAAAAAAAGAAAAAAAAAAAAAAAAAAAAAAAAAAAAAAAAAAAAAAAAAAAAAAAAAACAATCTGAAAGGACCTGAAATGAGTAGAGTTACTTGGTCGAGTGGTGTTCAAATATATGAAACAAGTACATTGCAGAAGGATTTGGTGAAAATACCTTATTTAAACCCTAATGAGATAAAATGATGACCGTTTGTTTCAATATCTACACACACACACACACACACACACACACATATGTATATTCTAATGAACTTATCATCCTTTTGTGACTAAATGTATACCACGTTTCTGCAGATATCCAACTTCGTCATTGGTCTTTACTTTTTGAGTGTCGTAAATAAGTTTGGCATCAGTACAGTGTACCTGGGGTTTGCTTCTGTGTGTCTGCTGGCAGTTATGTACATAGCTGGTAACGTAGTTGAAACAAAGGGGCGATCACTGGAGGAGATTGAACGTGCTTTGAACCCAACTATTTGAGATGATGTTGGTACAATGTGGTATAATGGCTGCACCGGTTACGGTGATTTTACGAGAATACTGTCTCGCGGGTCATCTTGTTAGTGGGGTTGAGGCTTGTTCAGACAATGTGACGTATGATACTTACTGGGTGTTGCACAAGCTGATGTACATCGGATAATTCTAATAATTGCTAGTTGGTCTTTGATTGTGCATGAATTTCCATAATGCCGCCCTTTACTTCAAACCCGTCATATAACTGCAACTGTCAAAATAATCCCCAGCTAAAAATTGTTCATGGTCTCTAAATGAAGATGTGATTCAGGATGTCAGTTAGAGTGTCCATCTGTTCAGATTATGTCTAGATTGATATCATATGCGATATTATTCTATACAATTTTACATGGTAATTATACCCTCCGCCTGTACCTATGAATCTAAACTACTTGCCCATGCTTGTTTGTCCAGTGTTGAAGCTGAATCAAATCATATTCACTTAATCGAATATATCGAAAGCCACTCGTAAGTATTAATCAAGTCGTGCCCGATTGCACTTGGGTTGTTTGTGTGTATCGGTGCCATCACAACATGAGTGCAAAGTACATGAAACTAGAATCCTTGTGGTTGCTCCCAGGAGACATACTTAGAGCCAAATTACCTACAGAGGACTTGCTACTGTGCTTCCCATGTTCTTGACCAAACCTCTCACCATTTTCTGGGCATATGATACGACTCGACTGATGGTTCCAAAACATCTTTCAAGAAGTGAATCTCAGTATTTCACCATAATCATTTGAGCTTGTGTTGATATCCAAACTAGTTGAGATGCCACAATGGGACACGTGTTCATCCTCAAAATAAAGAAAATCACACCAACAGAACTGACTGAATCGGAGGACAGTCAATAACCGATCCAACACAGTACGAGAGGCCGGTGCAACACAGAAGAAACCATTTGTCAAACAACATATTAACCGACTTGATTATTTGGTGGATTACGAGTGCGAGTCCACATGTACCACATAAATGAAGGACAAGACACTGACCGGACAACTCATATGTTGCGGAGCCGAGCAGTGCTCAAAACGTCAAATAGTCGACTCATCTAATTAAATGTAACCTAGACGTGCAAATGATTACTGTCAGGATGTCTATTTACCTTTTTGCTAGGACACATTTCACTTGGAGAAGTCACTCTGCCATACAGATTGACAAATAACTTAGTTTAGGGACTTAAATAACACCCATATTTTACTGAGGCACCCATGAGCTATGATAAGTCAAAGATATTTACTCTAAGTAATAACAGATGAAAAGATCGAACTGCGTTCTTGTTATACTCATATACTTTATCCATTTTATCACCTTTTTTTTTTTCAATTTAAACTATATTTTTCGTTGCATGGCAATAACTTTCAAGAAAAAGCGTAGTGTGAATCAAATCAATATTTGTACTTAACAAATGCAATCAGATTCCTCAAATCATCCCAAAATAAAATAATCTTGAAATCTCTTAAACCAGCCATAGCCGATCTCTTTCTCGCGTTGCCTCTCTTCCGGTGTTCCTAGCACTCTGTGATGCCGATAGGCATTTGGCTCGTCCTGGGGACGCGACTATGGTAGCCTTCTGTTTTCACCTCCCCGATTGGTCTCGAACTTGCCATGTTTGACATGGCGGGCGATGATGGGCGGACATCGTCAGTGACGTCACGGACATCCTAGCGGCTTCTGGCGGCGGTCTGAGCCTTGGTTCCCCCCTTTTTTCTAGCATTCCCTGGTTTTGGGAAGGCGGGTTCCTCCGAGGGCTGTAGTGCGGTGGTGCAGCGACTCTGATGTTTGCTTGGGGGCGGGAGATGGGGGCGCTGTGGAAAGGACCGACCTGAGATGGTTCTGCTGTGCACTAGGGGAAATTTTGTTCTGGTGGCTCGAGTCTAGTTAGCCCATCAGAGAGTTTTTAGATCCCTATGTTGGGTCGTGGAACGTGTGGCTTTGCCTCGGTAGGTCGCGATGGGTATTAGCTTGGGTTGTGGTGGTGCTGTGTTTTTGTCCAGTTGGGAATGCTTTAGTTTATGTTATTTTTTAGGTTGTTTTGGTTTTGTGGTTTCTCTTGTGTTTTCTTTTTTTTTTAGAAAAAAAAAAAATTGTCAGTTTTATTCTCTCGTTGGGAACTTGTCATTCTCAACTCGTAGGAGTGTTTTAGTTCTTAGCGTTCTATGCATTTTTTTATTCAGGTTGGTTCTAGACTATAATTGATATAAATCTCCCAACTAAATTTAGTTGGTTTATTCAGTTGATTAGTTGTTTTCTAGTGTGTACATATGTGTTTTTATCTTGAACTCTATCGTTAAAATAATAATAATAATAATAATAATAATAAAAATAAGAAAACAACTTCCAACGAGAAACAATTATGTATCCTACCTAAGTGAAAACACCTAACCTTTTCTTCCAAGTCTCTAAGCAAAATAGGACTAGCAGGTCTCACACATTGGACTTCCGCCCTCAATACTCCTTTTTAGGCCTATAAACGAGCCATAAACCAAGCTCGAGCTTAGCTCGTTAAGGCTTCGAGCTCAAGGCTTAACGAGCCGGTCTCGATTTTAACGAGTCAAACTATAAAAATTATAAATGAAATTTCAATTTGAGTCGAACCGAGCTCAGTTCGTTGACCAAACAGGCTCGAGATCGACTTGTTAAGACCTCGAACTTGAGCCGAAATCGAGCCGGGTGGAAGGTCTACTTCGTCCATTAGCCTGTCAAGCAAAACATGTGTCCTTAAATGAAGTAAATCATGCTTCTAAAAGCGTTTTAGCTTCAGAAAAATTGTGATATACGTACTCCTTAAAAGAAGTAAACAATGCTGTTAAACGTGTTTTAGCTTAAAAAAAAGAAGTTATGATTCCTCACAGCTTGCCACTTGCCAGTATACTTGGTGAGATACGTTTAAATTAATCAGTGTTTTTCTCATTGAGACTATTCTAACTCAATTTTTATTTATTTATTTAATTACAGTTCATGTTTACTGTCTACGGTTTGCCGTGTGTAACAACAAATTTTATGAAAAAAACATAAAATTTCTATACAACTTGATTATATTTCGATCAAACGATATGCGGGTACAATTTCTATTTATCTCCTCTGATTCTTCTCTTCATAGATTTGGGTTTGAGATCTTGAAAGATGGATTTGACGATTGAACCTCCTTCATGCTTGGTCTTGAATTTCTCTAACATTAATTTGGGGGTCGAATGACTTATTCCCGTATTAAATGTTAGACCTTGACTTGATTGAAGAAGACTTCTTGGAGAACTTGTTTCTTTGATCTTCTAGAAAGAAGGACTTTGACTTGAATAACGTTGACTCGAGGGCTTGATAGCTTTTTCCTGGATCAAACGCTATATTGGTTGAACTTCTCAACGAACGCGGCTTGAATGTCGCTCGAACGTCGTTGATATTCTTGGATTGACTTGAGAAGCGTGAAAGTCGTCTTTTTACTTCTTGAGGAAGAGTCGTCGCCTCTTTTTCTTCTTCTTGGCCTTCTTCTTCATTGAATGGACTTCGAGCGGTTCTTCAAGAACTTCTTCAAATCTTCAAGAGTGTTCTTGAAGGCTCTTGAATATGAGACTTTAATATTTGAGATGTGTTTGATATTTTTGAGGTGTTTGAGGTGTTTGAGGTGTTGAGGAGAGCCCTATTTATAGGTGTAGGAGAGAGAGTCTTGGAAAAGAAGACTTCAATTTGATTGGTCCTTCATGATTTGACATAATCTCTTTCCTTATCCTAAAATTTGATATAATCTCTTTCCTTATCCTAAGATTTGACTTGGTGGGCAAGAAACAATTACTTTATTAATTAAATATCTTATTTATCTTGGATTTATGTCCCAAAATAAATAAAGACATTAATTAATAAAATATTAAAATTTCGATGTCTACACCGTGCACTAACAGCTTCTTGTTTGACTTTGATTTTAGTGGTACTTGGATCACACTCATAGTATAAGTGATCAATATAAATTGAACCAATTAAATTAAGAGGCTATTGGTGCCTGGTAGCTTCCCTAATTGAGCAGCACTTTTGCAGATCATTATATAAAATGGGGAGATGCTACGGTCCGTCGGGGTTTGGAACCGTTAGATTATCATGTAACCATCGGGGATAGGTGATCTAACGGTTTCAAACCCCGACAAAATGGTTCCGTAATGTAACCGTAGTATTTCCCTTATAAAATGATGCAAAGAAAACAAAAATGCAAGCACATTACATGTGGAACTCCCATATCTTAAGTTCCACTCCTTTGCTCCTTCTCTTTCCATCTTCATGCTCTTTCTACCAAAATATAAAAACACCCTTTTGCAAAATGCACCAATCTAACCAAACACACCATTTTCTCATTCTCCGAAAAGATGAAAAAAGCTCGTTTGTTCCACTTGTTTTTTCTCGTCGTTGGCATATCAATCGGCATTTTCTCCACTCTATGCCTCAAAAGCTTCTCCTTCTCCATTCCTTCACTCCTCCTAATATCTCCCATTTCCCTCTCCATATCCGACAATCCATCCGTCATACCTTTATCGTCGACAAACGAAACCTTTAATGATCGCACTAATGTTAGTACCGAAGATAATCTTCGCGCACCTCCTCCGCCACTGATCATACTTTCGTCACCAAACGAAACTTCTAATTACACTAACAATATTACTAGTCCTACTAATTTTTCAATAGGAAACGACTCCACACAAAGCATGAGTGAAGACGAGGAGTTGTTTACGAGGGCGTCGAGGGTGCAAGGATCCACGGGCAAAGAGTCGAAGGCAAAAGTAGCTTTTCTATTCTTGGCGCGGGGGCCATTGCCCCTTGCTCCGTTTTGGGACGGCTTCTTCAAAGGACACGACGGGTTGTTCTCAGTCTACGTTCACTCTCACCCTTCCTACAATGACTCCTCTTCACCTGTCCCTAAGGGCTCTGCTTTCTACAGGAAAAGAATCCCTAGCAAGGTAAATGTAAATCACATCACAGCTCAATCAATTAATTAATTAATGTCTTTCGAAATATACCATATAATTTTGCTCATGTGCTTTAGCCGGTGGATCGTGGTTCGATCTCCATGGTTGACGCCGAGCGGCGGCTCCTGGCGAATGCCCTCCTCGACTCCTCCAATCAAAGGTTCGTCCTCGTATCCGAATCCTGTATCCCGGTCTTCAACTTCACCACCGTCTACGACTACCTAATGGGCGCCAACGGGAGCTTCCTGGGCACGATCGAGGACCCGTGGAAGAGGAGCAAGTGGCGGTACGACCGCCGGATGCTGCCCACCGTCAACGTCAATCAGTGGCGGAAGGGGTCGCAGTGGTTTTCGATCCGACGCGACATCGCCGGGATAGTCGTCTCCGACAAGGAATTTTACAGAGCGTTCCACGATTTCTGCCCGGCGCTGCCGTGTTTCAGCGACGAGCATTATCTGCAGACGCTGGTGAACGTTTTGTGCCCGGAGCTGAACACGAAGCGGGCCGTGACGTGGTGTGACTGGTCGCTGGGCGGGGGCCACCCGAGGACGTTCGGGCGGCTCGATGTGAACGTTGAGCTGCTGGAGCGTATACGGTTCGGGTCCGAGTGTGTGTACAACGGCAACGTTACCAACGTCTGTAACCTTTTTGCTAGGAAGTTTGCGCCCACTGCTCTTGGGCCGTTGTTGGAGATTGGGCCCTCGGCTCTGGGTTTTGATCTTTGATTATTTTTTATCTTTTTCTTTTTTTCTTTTTAAATTGTTTCAATAGGATTTTTAATTTACTAGTTGTAATGTTTGATTATAACTTGATGAAGAAACAATTCAAAAACCGAAAGAACAACTCAAAAGTTGAATCTAGTAGGAGGACAGATCTCGAGGAGCGTCTAAAAGTTCAATTAGAACAACTCACCCACTAAAAAACACAGAAAAACTACAAACACAAACAAACTCTACAATTGGAGAAAAACTCCCCAACAAGAGACTACCCCCTCCCCTACGGGAGAAAACCCCTCCCCGACGGGAGAAAGCACGTGATCTAACTTGAACCTAAAATAATCAATTTCATCATGATATTTGAAATGTGTAATGCATTATGCATGGTGGTGTTAGTTTTTGATGTGCTGCACCAAGGATCTATTTAAACCAGCGACTGAAAACTTCCGACCGTCCGAGTATAGCCGATAACCTACAAAACAAGGGCCTAAAGGAGCTCTCGACTTGCGCACTCCAACGCTCAGTTCGGTGATCGGGAAGGGGTTGAATATGATCAATAATATCTAGAATATAGAGAAATCAAAGAGAACTCTTTAGTTGTACCTTATCCTTTTATAATATTGGGTGATTACCTTGGTGCCCAAGAATTCTTGATGCCGAAGAGAGGCCCAACTAGTCAAGGTTCATTCTTATCTGACTGCGTCCATCTTTATATGATTATGTCCATCCTTATTTTATTGTGTTCATACTATTAGGTTAACATTGATGTGTTTACACATGATCATGTTCAGTTGTATTCACAGGTTTCTTCCTACTTAGATCGACCTACTGAGGTTAATGAGTTATCAGCTCGTGTGCATTCGAGATGTCCTGAATCTACCTAGGTTGAGTAGGTCGACTAAAATACAACCGAGTTGGGTAACCCAGTTTCTTCAATATGCTAATCTAGTTCACTGACTTGGACCAATTATTAATCGACCGACCTCATGTTTGAGGCGTCAATCCGGTTTCAGCCGAGCTGAGGTTGTATCAGTATTGTTCGGAGCATGTGAACTTTATAATAGAAATGTCACTTTCATTGAAGTAATAACATGTGGATGAACTTTGGATGGTAGTATTGATGTTGAAACTACCTCTAGACTGGGATTAAACCGATAAGATTGCAAACCGTCTCTAGCTTGAGCTCTGATGACGTGCAATATACGATGAGAGGGGTCCTAGCAGAAACATATTCGATGCTCAAGTTAGATCTGGCTCGTAACAATAAACTGAGATAAGAAAGTTTATTTCATGTTACTTTGATAAGAACCCGAATGCCTTCTTTTATAAGAATGTTGTCTTCTTACTCATGCCACTTCATCACTAGAAAAAAGATCTTTGCATATCTCGTTTCCCAGTATGACACATCTTCAAGATCCCCAATTTCTAAGTGTGATGCACTTAGTATAAACAATATTTTGTATCCTTCTTTAACATGGCTCCCTAGGTCTTTAGGTCATTGTACTAGCCCCATGACACTTTCACCATATTCTTTACCAGATCTCTACGCGACCTTTAATGTACAAACCTCTAGATCGTTATTGTCCCCTCGTCTAGCCAAGCTCTGATGAGATTTGTTCTCTACCTCGTAGTCTGAGATGACTCGTACCTCGAACTAATATACTGAGCTCCTTGATGAAGTCATACCCTGTTAAGGCTACCTTGGGCCAGTTATCCCGAGCTAACTATTTTAACCAGTCCACTGACATTATGGGTGCTACATCATCTAGCTTCCTATAAAACGAGCTACGAAGGCTCTGTTCATAATAACTCAACTTCATTTTTCATTTCTCTTTGTTTTCGTATCGAATACACTTTATCAGTTTCCCTCTATTACTTTGCGTGTCAGGGACGTTTCAGAAACCCACCTGGTACCTCGAATGAGAGTCATTGACCATCTCGGAGATTGAGATCCTCGTGACACGCCGATTTAAGAGTATTGTTTGGTTCCTTTAAAATTACATCTTCTTCTCTATTTTTTTCTTTCGCCATCTCCACTCACTATACTTATTGTATCCTCCTCGCAATCAAGCTCTCCAAAAACCAAACAACCTAGTAAATTCTGGCGCCTTCTTCATAAATTCTAACAACCACCCATTTATCTATCCATGCCAACATTGTGGGTATGTAACCGCCTCTTTCTATCAGACCATTCAACATTGTCTTTTAATTAAATTAGGGATATTTTGTTCTTCTTCCACATCTCTCTTTTTTTTCATGGTTTTAAGATTTCTGATAACACAATGTCAAATTTTGGCCACCCTACTAAATCTTCATCGAATAGTGTCAATCAAAACACTATATCCTCTTATTCATCAATATCACTAGTTGTAGTTCCAATCTCATATACCTACTTTTAGATATTGGGTTGCTCTTGCACTTAGAAGAAACAATGGGTGAAATCTCTTAGGACGAACTCAAAGACCTAGCGTACAATTACCGTCAATAGGTTGATCGGCCACCTCCATTAAATATGTCGAGCTAATGCAATGTATAAAACAAATAACTGTGGTCAAGGTAAAAAAATTGAGACCGTACCTTCTGTTGCCAAGCTAGTAAAATTCAACATTTTCTTCTCATATTCTCACGAAACAACAGCCTTCTTCAAACACCAATGCCAGCTCCCCAGATCTTGGACTCTACGAGCTCCCCGTCCAGGGGATAATTTCGACCAGCCATCTTTGGGCATTTACACATTTTTTTGTAGACCAGGTCCTCAGCAGACTTAAGTTCCCTTTACATGAGGATCTGGTTCGACTGAGTCAATTCTACCGCCACCCCTTAAATCACTTTTCCCCAAACTCTTTCATTTGATGACGGGGTTCATTAGTTTTAGTAAATGCCGCCTTCTAGTTGTAGATCTCGACTTGTAATTTTACTGCTACAATGTAAGCCCCGACCCAAAATTATATATTTAGCTCGACCTTATTTTCCAGAAATAGTAAAATATTAATTATGCTGAGAGTTATTATTTTGATCGCATAATTTATTAATTTCAAGTCCAGGCCATGGAGAGAACGTTTGAATTATTATTTCAAAAACGAGATAAAAATCCTAAGCCTAAGTCTCGATAAATTATTTATATCAAGTATTAGAAAAGTCGAGAAATAATTTAATTCCCGAACAAGCCCAATTATTTTTATTTCGGCCCATTTATTTTATTACCGGGCCCAACTACTTAATCGATACATTTTAAATTCTAGATGAATTTATTTTAACTAGTCGGCCCATTCTTTTAATTCGAGTAGTCAGATTAAATTTCGAACCTAATTAGCATATTAAACATTCTGATCCCGAGTTGAAACTATATATCGAGTCCAAGATGATTAATAATCGAGCCCGATAAAAAGCCCAACAAGAGCATGAAACCCTAATGCTAGATTATCTATAAATAGCATGTCTTTACCCTTAGCTTATTTGGACCACACAAAGAGAAAACCTTATCCTCTTAGTCAAAACTCAAAAACCTAGTCAAAGCTACTATTCACCTTCTTCTTCACAAGCTTCTTTCCTTCACCACCATCATCTCCATTTTTCTTGCAAAATCCGGCCAACCCTTGTGTTTTCTGGCAAACCCACGACGTCTAGCCCTAGCTCATGCTGCACCAAGCATGCCGTTCCAGCTTGAGTCCATGAGCCCGCAGCTAAGCCTTGGTCCACGCGCATCCTTCACGAACCAAGCCACTGCACCCGAACCTGACCACGTACACGACGCCCGTCCGCTGCACCCACGAGCCGTGAGCCACCTTCAGACCACAACTTGTTCACGCCGCGACCCGCTCAGTCCGTACGCGCACGACCCAAACCAGCGCAGATCCGCACAGTGACGGTCCGTACTGTGCGAAAATAAAAAGCAAAAATTTTACTCTGATTTAATTATTTCTACAATAAGTAGGCGGGGTGTTACATTCAATCTTAAGATGCAGAAGGGTTCATTCTACCTTACAGCTCGGAACTATGCTAACTTCTTCAAAGACCTTCCTTCCAATGTTTCTATTTGGAAAACGAAATTCTTCTTCGTGCAACCTCCTCCAAATATCTCCGACTTCTTACCTGACTGGATCAAGGAGTTTCTAGATCAGCGCAAGAAGCTCGAGCCTTCTAAGCGCTTTGAAGAACTCATTAAAGAATGAAACCAACTTCTTTTTCATGTTACGAAGTTATCTTCGATGACCGACATTGTGGCTTGGCATCAATACCTTATCCTTCTGCCACTGACTTAAGTACTACATAGCTCGTAGGTCCTATTCTTTGTATTTTTCTTATGTCGTGATACTAATTTATATATATATTTTTCTAACAGATGCATTTCTAGGTAGAACCCTTTCTTGTTTGAGCTCGCAGCTCAGAGAGCTCGTTGCTACTAAGGCTACGCTCGAATCTATTCCTTAGGTCGAGGACCTCACCATATTAAAGAATCACCGCTCTTAAATAATAAAAATGCTCGTGAGCTAAAACAATGTTCGGCCTATGGGCCCAAACGCCTATCTGTAGAGAAGAATTGCAGCTTGACAAAGAAACAAAAAAATAGCCTTTCCCCCCCATCCCCAAGGGATTCAATTGTCTTACCTTCTCTCTATCACCTTGTAAGATTCAAAAGAGCACATAGACACTTCTCTTCACACACTTGAAAATTTCCAAACCAATTTCTTCTCCATACTCTTCACAAACTGCGTGCTCAAGGAACTCCAACTTGTACCAATGATCAACAAAAACCATTACATAGTTAAGATAGTGCATGTTCTTGGACCCCCAAATGTTTATTGTACTTCTATTTCATTGTCCACTCATTGCTTTGATATCAAGATTATTATTGCTCCCACTCCATTCTCTCAAAAAACAATTCACCTAGCCAATTTCATGATAAAACTCATTTGAGGTGATATAAGATGTAACTGAAACCCTCAATATTTGCTTGTTGAAGTGGAATAAAATATCAACCATCCTTCTAGCATTTTTCCAATCAACAA